CAGGCTGGTCTCGAACTCCTGAGCTCAAACAATCCGCCCGCCTCGGCCTCCCAGAGAGCTAGGATTACAGGCGTGAGCCACCGCGCCCGGCCCATCGGTGTGTTTTTGACGAAGATGCCCGAGCAGGTCGTGGGAGGAAGGACGCCAGAACCACTGGACATCCACAGGAAAACGAAATGGACCCTGTCCCCGCACACGAGGTTAAATACAGAGACAAACCTCTAAATTCAGTGTTTCACCTGGGAAGCGCGAATTGCAACGCGGGGCACACACAGACCAGGTGGTCTTCAGTATGTCTGAAGAACAAGGAGAACATCGAGAGTTTACTGGACAGAGAAATGCTACAGACTGTTTTGAAATAAACTGCACTGCACTGGTGCGGTTTTGGGGCGCCGGCAAGCTCTGATTGGTGAGTGACAGTGGGTAAACTGGTTTTAAAGTCACCGCAGGGAACGTCAGCAGCTACTGGTCTTAGGATCATAGCAGGCTGCTTTACTGGCTGGGCTTGTGGAAAATCTAATTTTGGGGGCGGGCACTATGTGCCCTGAGTGTTCCCCCAGCCCCTCAGCTCCAATTTAGCTGGGTACGGCAAGAACGACCCAGGCTGTACAACTAACTTTCACAACACCATACACAAGAATTCATTCAAGAAGCCTCATGGACCACAATGTGAGAGTCAAACCACAAAGCTTCTAGGAGGAGACACAGAAGAGCATCGTCATGACATCAGGGTAGGCAAAGCTATTTTAGACACACTAGGCACACAGGGAAAACTGATAAACCGGACTTCACAAAATATTTCTACCCTTCAAAAGGCGTCACTGAGAAAACAAAAAGGCCAACCACAGACTGGGAGAAAATGTTCCCAATATGCATCTCTGATAAATAAATACACAGAATACATAAAAGCCACTATGAATAAATAACCCAAAGACAAACAACCTGATTTAAAAATGGGAAAAAGACTTAAAGCACTTCACAAAGAAAGATACCTGCACAGCTAATACACATATGAAAAGTACCCAGTATGGCTAGTCGTCAGGGAAATGCTAATTAAAACCGCCATGAGACGCCACTACACCTACCCGAATGGCTGAAAATGCGCAGTCTGACAATACCCAGTGCTGGCGAGGAAGTGGGGCGGCCGGAGCTCACACTGTGGCCGGGAGAGCAAGACGTCGTCAGCGCGGCAGAAACACCAAAGTGAAGTCTCAGCGCTGTCGTGACTTAGTAATGCCACGTCTAGGCACAGGGCCACGAACAGGAAGGAACGTGTCCACGTAAACACTCGCACGGGAATGATCAGAGCAGCTTTATTTATCACGGCAGGACGGACGGCTCGGCACTCTCTCACGGGGACGCCGTTCGGCTTGGCTGTCTCTTCGGAGTGGCGTGCGGACCAGAAAGAGCGCGAGGAAGCA